ATTTGTTTGAGTCCTCTCTCTTTTTCTCTTGGCAGGTCCAGATAAAGGTTTGTCCATTTAGTCTATCTTTTCAAAGAGACAGCTCTAAGTTCCATTGATCTTTTATATGGTCTTTATAGCCTCTATTTCACTGATTTTCACTGCCTTTGTTATTTCCTTCCTTCTCCTAACTTTGCGTGGCTACATTTTAATATCCAGCTTAGACCATCAGGAATGGAGGGGGAGAGGAGTGCTTTAATGGATTGTCATCCTGACATTTGCAGGAGGCTAGGGGAGGGGGCATGGCTGTGAAGGTAACTGAAAGGTGTTTTTATTGGAGTATCTCCTTACATTGCTTTCTGTCACATCTGTGACTCACATCTGTGAGAAACTCACGTCTGTGTGGTCCACCAGCCTCGGAGTGTTCCTGGCAAGTCATGTTTTTGTGTACAAACCTTCCCAGCCCCCTAAAGGCAGGTCTCACATAAAGAAGGGAGGGAAAGATGCTTGCACTGTGGTTAATGAGGAGGGAGAATCCAGAGGTGGCTTAGGTCATCTGAGTTTGGATGAGTTTGGCTGTCATCTGTTAATTAAGTTAGCTCTGCCCGCTCCTCTTTCACACTTCCTGCCATCATTACTTTTGGGTGAGATGGGCTTTTAAAATTATTATTGTTTTAGCTCTGTAACTGTTATCTTCTATAAGTTTCATATACTAATAAATGTGGCTTCATGAACAGAAAGGCAAAAATATCTTCTGAAGGTTATGGATACAAACCTATTTCAAGACACCTATGCTGCCTCCGGACAGCTCTGTCATGTTTGACCTGATGGGAGGTTGGTTCCTGAGACTGGGTTTGTCTCTGGCAACAGAAATATATACTTTCAGAACGATGCAGTCGTCTCCTGTCAGTTTTAGAGGGAACGTTTGCACCATAAAAGTAGCCAGTTTGTATTTGGCTTTGTGAAACAGAACTTTCTTTGAAAATGTTAAACCTTGCCTTGGAAAGTACTGCAGTAGGGTTGAAGCGTCACCAATGAATCCAAAACAACCGCAAAGTGCTTTCATAGCTCGTTTGGTGGTGGATCTGATGCAACACACCGAGCAGCGCAAGGCAGTGATGGCGTGCCTGCAGCTCAAAGCTGTGGACGGTGAGGGGGGCAGAGCGGACGGTCGGGTCAGGGCTGGGCTAGGGTCCCGCTCCACCACCTGCTGCTCCTGTAAACCTGGGCCTGTCCAGGGATCTCGGCCTTATTGCTTGTCATCTGTGAAATATGAGCTTTGCAGAGTTTCCACTGAGTTAATTAGATGCCTTGTATCAAACACCCAGCAAATTCCAATCTATTAAAAATGTCCATAAAGTACCTTGAAAGCGTTGTCCTAATCTATATCATAAGGTGTTGTGAGATGGCAGAAAAAACTGGTCCTTGTGATTTTATTGAGAACAAAGACACATTCAGATTATCTGTCACTTAAATGTCTACAAACAGGGATGAGAGCCTTGAGACAGACGAGGGTCCACGCAGTCTGTGCTTTAACAGAACCTGTCCAGCTGGCCGAGTCTGATGGTCACGGCAAAGGCCAGCTGGCCCGGTGCTGTCTAACTGGGCCAGGACACGGGCAGCTCTGTGACTCCTCTGCGCTTGGGTTTCTGGAGTTGGGCACTTGGGCTAAAAGCCCGGGACTGACATGAGGGTCATTCCCGGGCTGAAGGGAACAATGTTAAGGGAAGACACAGGCCATTCAGGCTAAGAAGCCAAGCAGAGACCAGAGAGGCAGAAACGACCAGAAATGCCAATTCTCTGGTCTGGGGGTGAACTCTGGAATAAGTCTGAGGGTTGGCAAGATGCACAGATACACGGGAGGGGATGATGATGCAGAATTCACCTGGGTAGAGCAAGTGAACTTCAGAGACTATTCCTGCGAGGGTCAAGTAGGAACTGGGAGAAAATATTAGTAAGTGACTGATGTGATTGGTGAAGCGGGCACGATGTCCAGGGCACCCATGCTGGCCAGGGCTCACTGACATCCTCGGGCAACTCTGGGGATGACGACCCCCTGGTAAGATTTGGGAGACACAGAATTCACAGGGACACTTGGTTAAAGAGCTTATGCTTTGCCTATTGAGGTGGGAAAATGAGCTGACAAGAAGTTTCTGGCCAAATACAAATTAGCCAGAAGTAATAATTAAATTATATCATGCCTACTGCTGGGAAGGATTGAGGGCAAGAAAAGAAGGGGATGGCAGAGGATGGGATGGTTGGATGGTATCACTGACTCAATGGACATGAGTTTGGGCAAGATCAGGGAGACAGGCAAGGACAGAGAAGCCTGGTGTGCTGCAGTTCATGGGGTCGCAGAGTCGGACGTGACCCAGCAACTGAACAACAACAACAAATTGTATCATGCCTACAACAAGAAAAAAGGCCTTTGGCAGTTTTAGCATAGTGAAATAAATTAAAAAGTAAGCCAGGGTGCCTTATCGAGCATTTTGCTAGCAGCCTAAGGGGGAAAGCAGATTTGGAAAAGTGAGGATGGCGAGAATAGTGGGTCATTAGCTTCTCTTTCATATTCTTCAGTGACGAAAATGTTAAATTCCAGATACATAATCCACAATTTAGAATGGGCCCTTATCCACTTAGTAATTTAAAAAAAAAACCCGCATTTCCAAGAGAAGGGGCTTCCTCAATGGGCTTGTCTGTCCTACAGGAACTATCTGGAAAACACTGAGCTGGTTGTTTCCTGTCTTAATTCTTGACAAAGCGACTGTACTCTTTCTAACGCGGCACCCATCTGGCCTCCATGCCAGGAATAACTTTCTTAGAGACGGAAGAATGACAGACAGACATAAATATTTCCCAGTGTTTTAAATAAATGTATTGTTTTTCTCCACAAAAATGGAAACTGATTGTCTCCCAACTCTCCTGCCAGCTTCTCTTAGGAGTTAGAAGTTGGCACTCAGGGCGCTGTGAGACCTCCAGTTGTCAAAGGCTGTGTCTCACCCGACAGTCCTGGGCAACACATTTCATTCCTCTGTGTGGACTCCCCGAGGAGTCTGGGGTTGATCGTGAGGGAAACGCCGAGATTCTCGAGCACAAGCCTTGCACGCTGAGGGTGCTCCCCCCACTCCCGCCCTGTGTCTCTGTGCCTCGGAGGAGGTGCAGGAGAAAAGGCAGATGGGCAGGTTTGGGCATCGGGGTCTGGTCCTGTTCCTGCTGCTCATGTTCTCCGACTAAGCTGTTTGCCTTCTGCTTTTGTTCTTCCCCCTGACGTTGTGCTGGTGAATGAATGAACGTGTTTTCCATCTTTTGACTTCTACAGAAAAGTGCACAACAACAAATAAATATTTAAGCTATCAGCTTGCAGTCCTCTCAATAAAGAAGGAAGTAAAAGCAACATTTTTGGCAGCGAATGCTGAAGGATTCACGTCAGTTTTGGATGCACATTTTCCTCTCTGGGTGATCTTAGAACCAGCAGTATGCAGTATTTACTTTGTATTTTCCCTCAACTTTTATGAACGTTTCCTAACAGCATTCCATAGTTACTTAACCATGTGCAGCTGCTCTGCTCACCTGTTTCTCGGACCCAAGAGCAGTCCCGGCTTTATTATAGTTTCTTTCTGAGCCCTCAAGCCAGAAGGAATGTGTTTAAGTATAATACTTAATAGATTTTCTGGGCTCTGGAATTTGAACGAGAACTCACAGAGCAGCTCTCTTTCGAGGGGACACACATTTCCTCCCCATCTTTCCATGGCCCTGTGTCTATGCCTTTCATCCTGAAAGTGCCTCAGCGTGGGACTCTGTGGTTGGAAGAGCACAGGCTTTGTCTCAACGGCCAGGCCCGGAACCTGCTGATACAGCCCCCGACACACAGCCAAAGCTTTGGATTAAACATGGGATTAAAAGTCAGATTTGGATTTTCTGTTTTCTTCTTTTCCTCGGTGCTCCGACAAGTCAATCGAAGTGTTGTTCTCCAGAATCTTCACTCCCTTGGTTTTCTGTGTGAGCTAGAATCAGGGCTTTCTCCTGTAAAGTTGTAAGCCAAGGAGAAACTATTTCAGCAATGTTGTCTGCGATGGATACTGTCCAGAGTCTGGGCGTGCAAAATTCTCTTGGTTTCCCATCAGTCTCCACCAAGGAGTCTGCACCCTCTACACCCACTACGCTGGCTTCATCAAAGCCTGAAAGGGTTTAAAAGCAGCCACATTCCTGCCAGCCACACTTGCCCCAGGTCCCGGCAACCTGCAAGTCAGGCTCCAGATCTCTAGGTCCCCTGAGAGCCTGGAGTGGATGCACCTGCGTACAGGTGTGCAAAGATGCCACTCTCCTTGAGCCTTCTGAATCCACCCGCAAAGCTGAGAGGCGAATTCTGGGCTGGACGAGGTGGCGTTAGAGCCCAGGGGCCCGGGGGACCCAAGGGAGTCTGGGGACTGACCTAGGCTTCGAGTTAGCTCTGAGGGGTGAATCGGCCCGCAGGACCGGTGTTCGAGGACAGGATCAGCGCCCTGGGATGGGAGGGCGAGGTATATCTTGCTGTCCCAGGGCGCGCGCGCGCGAGAGTGTGTGCGCCTGTGTGCATCTGTGTCCGTGTGTGCACATGGGTGCGCGTGTGCAGGGAAGGAGGCGTGCACACGCAACACCCACACAGGCTGCAGCACTGCCCTGGGCACCCCCTCCACCTCCAGCTCCGTCATACCCGTGCCCCGGGCGGCCGCTCGGCGGAGCGGGCGTCGGAGCCGAGTGAGCGGGGCGCAGCGGCCGCGCTGGAGGTGGGGCAGGGGGAGGGGACGGGAGGGCTGGGAGGGCGGGCGGAGGAGGATCCGGGAAGCTCCGGAGTTATTTGACAGGAGCCGGGGCCGCCGCAGGACGCGGAGGACCGACGGGGCCAGCTGGTCGAGTCCGGGTCGCCCGGAGCTCTGGGGACGAGGACCCGAGCAGCCCCTCCGCCCGCGCTGCAGCCGCGCCCGAGTGCCGCCCGCGCGCCCCGCTCCGGGCCAGAGAGCGCCGGCCCGCGCCCGCTCACCATGCTGCTGCCGCGGCTCTGCTGGCTGCCGCTGCTCGCGGCGCTGCTCCCGCCGGCGCCCGCGCAGAAGTTCTCGGCGCTAACGGTGAGTGGGCCCGCGGCGCCGGGGCGCGCCGCCTCCTGCCCGGGGCCGGCCGCGTCCCCGCCGGCCCCTCCGCCCGCCGCGCTCGGGCGCCGCGAGCAGGTGACCCTCCCGCCCGCGCGGCCCGAGCAGGTGGGGCCTGGGCGGTCCGCGGGGCGCGCGCAGATTCTGGGGCCCCCTCGACGCGCGTGGACCGGCGAGGGGTGCTCCGCGGGCCCCTCGCCGCCCCCCTCACGAGGGACAGGGTAGCGCGCGGAAGACCAGGTCCGGGAACCAGGGCGCCGCCCGGCGGGCTGTCCGAGGGCGGCTCTGCCCCGGCCTCCGCGCGGTCCGATGCGGACCCCGCGGCTCTTGCCGGGCGGGTGAGGGGCGGAGGAGGGGGCCGGCTCCTGGGCCCCGCAGGTTTGGCCCGACCCTCCCGGGGGACGTGAGCTTAGAAGCCGTGACAAGTGAAAACTGCTTTCCCTTCGTCCGAGCGGGCAGACATTGGAAGGGCCAGGGGACTCCGCGTCCTGCGCTCCCCGGCGTAGGCCCCCGGGGCAGGGTGCGCCGAGAGCCAGGGTCACCGCGCTGACCGCGGCTGGGTTTGCTTTCTTAGCGGCGACTTCTCGGCGAGGCCCGGCCACCGGCGCGCGGTGCCAAGCTCGAAGCGCCGCGCAGGGACCGGGCCAAGCCGCCGGCCGCCGGCCCGGCCCGGGTGTCCCAGCCCCCCGGCTGGGGCAGACCTCGTGGGCTTGCAGTGTTTGCAAACCCATAATTAATGCAATCTGCAGAAACGAAAACATTCCACTTAAATGTGTTTTTGAACAAGTGCTTGAGAAAACACGCAGGGAGAGAGAACACCTCTGGTGGAGAGATGCTTCTAAGTGTCTGGGATGGTCCTGAAGGCGTTTATTGTATCGAAAATACCAACGGTTGAGCTGGGCTGTGGTCGGGTCTGCTTTGCAGCAAAGCTCAAGCCTGCGGGAGCCCTTTTTTTTTTTTTTTTCCTATTCGAGCAGTACCAGGGGGAAGGAGTTAGTGAGTTCACGGTTCATACCTAAAATTCTTCTGGGGCGGCCCTGGTCGCTGCCTTGTGTCTCCCGAATGACGTGTAGATTAGACACTGCCCACCCGATCTTGAGGAGGTTCCCACACGCTCAGCCGCCTGTGTGGGGTTTTCGTCTCCACAGAGGGGCGGTGGAGCAAGACTTGCTGTGTGCGTCCATGTGTCTGTCCATCTGTGCGCGTCCATGTGTCTGTCCATCTGTGCACGCATGATGGGCTTAGACCCCGCTTGTGTAGACAGCCGCCCACCGCAGGGCATCCGAGGCCCCAGGGAAGTGGAGACCAAGCCTCCGGTTGAGAGCCGGCGCTTCTTTCGCAGCAGGCCGTCTCCACGGCCCCGGCTGTTCTGAGAGTGCCCAAAGCAGATGGCACCTCAGGGGGCCTCCTGGATCTGCCGGCCTCTGGGTGGAAAAGCAGGATAGGGTGTTCGTTACTGGACCTGCTGGGCCCTCTGTGGGTTTTCTTCTCTCCCCTCTTACAAGCTGAGCATTTGCTTGGAGGTTGCCCTTGTTCATGGCTCTTCTAGGGCCGCTCAGAATTTCCTGGGTGTCGGTGATGCCAGCTGCAGAGGATCCCGTGCAGAAGCTAATGATACATACAGTGCAGGTACCAACCCCCTTTGGCTGCCCTTCCCGGGGAAACTTTTTGCCTTAAAACTATTTTTTGCAAATAAAATGCTACGTGGCTTCAGCCTCCAGGAGAAGAGCTTAAAGCCCTGACATATCTTGGCAAGCTCCCCTTCCTGCCCCACCCCTCATCAAGAACATCAAGAAGCTGGCTGATGGGCCGTGAGGGCATGTTGGAGGTGCTGGATTTTTCTGGGGTGCTCACCTCTTTTCAGACCAATTTCCAGTTTGGGGGGGCGGCGATCGCTGTTTCCAGGGGGATGGCTTTCTCTCTGCAGAATTTACATCTGGTCTTTAATAAACCAGAGAGACAGCGGCAGTCCCTGGGAGATGGGGAGTGATCGCTGGGCGTTTTCGGGATGTGTGGTCCTAGGCACATTACTTAACTGTCTTAATCTCCAGTGTTCTTGCTCTAAAGTGCGATCAAGGAATGCCTTCTGTTTAGCTCGTTGCCAGGATTAAACGGGAGGCTCTTAGTGTCCACACCCAGCACACACCTGTTCTGTAGCTCACACTGTTTCTGATGGTGTCTGTGCCTCTGGTCCTGACGCCGTGGTTTTCACAGGGGGCCGTGCCTCTCAGGAGTGGGGACGCTGGCCTCATGGTGGTTTTGTCTGTGCTGTGTGGAGCACAGCACTGCACTCTGGGGGAGCACGAGCTTTGTTGGGGTGGGGGTGCCAGGCTGGACCAGCAAGTGAGAAAGCTGGCCTGGCTGCCCGTTCTGTGCCACCCTGTCTCCTCAGGTGGAAACAGATGGCCCCCCGCCTCTTGGGGGCCAGAAGCTTGTCACCGGTGTCCCTGGGTGAGGCCTTTGTCCCCCGCTCCCTGCACTGGATGGTCTTTGCTGGGGGACGCGTCTCCACCGTGTGTCGGTGGGTTTGACCCCCTCTGCTAATCGGTGTTCAAGACAGAGAGAATTTGCTTTGCTCAATAATTACCTTTTTTTCCCATTAAAGTCATTCTTTAGAAATGGCACCTTAGTGTGTCTTCCTGTGACTCAGGATTTGCATAACTGCCTGGTCCTCCACGACTTGTGTGCTTTTCCCATTGACAGGCGGTGGCGTGAGGTGTGTCTGACCCCTGCTGGGATCCTCACCTGTCCCTTCTTTTTGCTAGGGACAGATCCGGTACGGTTTCCTACCTGCTCATGGCCGAGCCTAGGGAGCACCACCCGGTGTCGGCCGCCTGCCCACATGTGGTCCGGGTGACTGCGGTTCTGCTCTGTCTCGGGCGCGGTGGTGCCAACTTTGAGAGAAGTTCATAAACCCGGACCTGGGTGTTTGCTTCAGGGGCGGGGGCACCGCACTCCCAGTGACCCCTTGCTCAGAGTGTCTGGGAGGAGCGCAGGGACTGATTTTAGAGCTGCCTGTGGGGAGTTCTGCCCACACTGAGAAGGCAGAGGCCAGTGGCCTGGCTTCTCATGTGGCTGCTGGCCCCCTGTGAGGATGCGCCCGGATCCTGCCCACGGGCTGAGCTTTCTTTGCTCAGTGTGTGTTTCTCCTCGACTTCCCAGCAGCCGACCCCACGAGGCTCTGCTGTGCCCATATTCCAGAGGCCCTGTTGGGACCCTTGCCACTGCTCTGTTCCAGAGGCTTCCCTGGGCGGCGGAGGGGGCGGGGGTGCAGACCTCCCTGCCCTGTTTGCTGGGTCGCCTGCAAGGTCGGTTCAGCTGGGCCCTCCCTACCTACCCCCTCCCCTGGCAGGCCTCCAGCACACGGTGAGGAGCTGTCTGTCGGGGTGGGTGGGGGCTTCTAAGGACAGAGGAGCCTGGCGTGCTACAGTTCATGGGTCACCAAGACTCGAATACCACTGAGGACTGAACAACAACAGCCGCATAAGAATATGCCGCTGTTGGCACTAACGGGTCTATCGCTGATGGTGCCGAGACATCGGGTCAGAAGTCCCCCCAGCTCTGGGCGGCCGTGGACGGTCCTGCTCCCCACTGTTTCACTGTCTTCTCAGCTCTCAGGGAGTGATTATGGTTTTTTTCTTTTCCCTCTGCAAATGCTCTGAACACATTTGCTGCTCCAGGAAAGCTGCGTTTCATTCATCAGCAGAAGAGGGACCACGGAGGTGGTTAAGGAAAAGGAAACTAAACATCATCAAAATTTTCCAACCTAGAAGCCCATTTACATGGCGACTGAAAACCCAAACATCTGGAGGAGTCGCTTTAATTCTGATTTGAAATCAAGACCATAAATAAAACTATAAGCAACTTCAGGCTATAACAAGATTGTGCAGTAAATGGGCATTGATGTAACCAACATAGGTTGCAATGGTTCAGAGCAGAACAGATTTCTAAGTAATTCTATATCAAAATAAGCCTTCATGAGAGTCTAGGATTTTGGAATGAGGCTGTTATTAAGATTGGCAATGTAACACTGGAATAGAGGGCAAGGGTAACATTTTATATATTTTTAATTAAAAGATAAACTGTTTACACATTTACAAGCCATAGATGTAGCGTGATGAATTTCCAGGTGGATTCTGGCATTAGAGAAGAAAAATTCAGTCCTATTTTTCTGAGTTCATTTATGTTTTCGTAATTGATAGTGTTGGTAATGGGACACATTTTTGTTTAGCTGCTCAGTCATGTCCAACTCTTTGCCACCCTGTGGACTGTAGCCCACCAGGCTCCTCTGTCCATGGGATTCTCCAGGCAAGAATACTGGAGTGGGCTGCCATGCCTTCCTCCAGGGGACCTTCCCAACCCAGGGATGGAACCCGGGTCTCCTGCATTGCAGGCAATTCTTTACCATCTGAACCACCAGGGAAGCCAATGGGGCAAGACCCTTGATTTCTGTGCATCTCGAGAGTTTGAATGACACTTAGTATACTGAATATTTTTTAATAACTGAAGCCCAGGGAAGGGAAGCGTTCAGAAAGTGAAATCCTAATTCCGTGTGGGCTGCGAAAAGGTTATTGTAGAAGTGATAATAGTAGGCATTTTATGCGGTTTTGTAGTCCCAGGCTGAAAACCAAAGAGCAGAGATTTGTTATAAAGCAGAAATAAATAGAACCCAGTAAAATGGTGACTCTCATTTATATTGTCAGCATTGCGAAACAAGACATTATAAATGGAAATTCGTGCTACCTGGCCAGATTTAATTAAAATTTTCATTAGAATAGGAGGCCCTTTCAGAATGACTCGTAACACTATAATTATATTCAGATTTTTATTATGTCCGACATAAAATGGGATATTAACCAATGAAGTTGGCATTTAAGGGGAGGAGAAGTGTCCATACAGTTGGGAACGAGTTCTTCCTTCAGTGCGAGCGTCTGCGTTCTTCTTACTGTCCTCTTTCCCCGACCACCGTTCCTCTCTCT